AGTTCTCTTTGTCCCAAGGGTAGATTTCCTCGTAGAGTTCCCACTCGAGTAGGAGGAGGCGATGGTTCAGTAGAGGGAAAGGAGGGCTGTTACTTATACCTTCGAGCAGCCATTCCTCTTCTTCATACCAGTCCGTGATGTGAATGTTCGCCATTCCTGTACGTTCTTCCGCTGGTATTGTCATTGTTCTTGATACGGTACCGTGTATGACACTAAACGCATCCAGAGCAAATGAGAGTGCTGCCGGTAAGATATCAAAGTGTAGCGGATGATCTAGAGCGTACGATGGTGGGAGGATTCCCACTGGAAGGCCGGCGTAGATGGCTGTTAGGATAGTCCGGCGTCGATCTGGCTCTAGCCGGGGCAGGTGGAGTTCCTCCGTTAGGTACATTGGGTAGTTCATTCTCATGAACGTTCCCCATGTTCCATCTAGGTCGATATCGACATCGTCCTCTAGCGTTACCTTCGGCTTGTCTGTTTGGAATGGAAATGGGTAGGGGATTCTGATTAGCCCGCTGGGGTGAGGGATTAGATATGGCTGTCGTCGAGTTGACCTGAAGTCGTCCAGGAGGTGGACTTCGTGGACGTCATCCACTCTCTGGATGAGATGGTCCATCATGACTTGGATGGGTCGTGTTGAACTCGACATTGGTATGGTCGAAGTCGGCAAGATCCTCGATGGCGAATCCAGCCCCTCTGATAGCGAGATAGACTCCGAGCTGTTGGAAGACCTGGTAACGATGATCGTGGGAGGAGTGGGATTCGACATCTTCGAGAACTTCGATAAGATGCACAAAAGTGGTGATAGCAGATTCGAGAAACTCGGGATGTTGCACGGGCATTGGGGCATGGACTGAGGGTTCAGGTTAAGTTATGCTCCTTTTTATACTCATTCAGCAGCTCTCCTGCATTGCCCATTTCTGTCTCTTTTACCCACGACCTTTCGCTGAGTGGATATCCAGCCCATTTTACCAGATATTCGTTTTTGCTGCGCTGTAGTCGATGTCCAATTATAGACTCGATTTCAAATTCTTCCTCTCCTTCGATAAGATCCAGAGGCGGTGTTGAATAACTTTCCCCATGTGTACTGGTCTGCCGATACGGCGTGAGCAGTGCAGCATGAAACACCGAATGGATCTTCCATGTCACAGGAAGGTCTAACTTGAACGAGAGTGGTCCCAGAACCTCCTTGATCCTGAATGGTCCTTCTCGCTTCGGCACTAGCTTGTTCGATTTGTAAGATCTCTTCAAATTGGTGGCTTCCAGCCAAACCTTGTCTCCTTTCTTGAACGTTGGAGATCCTCCTTTGATCCTGGTGGATACACGGGCTTTTGCCTTGATGATTCCTTCTGTGGCCTCCTTGCGGACCATGCTGAGAAGCTTGAGTCTTGCCTCCACGTCGGGGATCTCGTCCTGAGGAAACAATTCTGGCATTCCTCGCGGCTCGTAGCCATACCATATTTCAAATGGTGACTTCTTCGTTACTGAATGAGTATGGAGATTGTGCACGAACTCTGCTTCAGATAGGAATTGGTTCCATCGATGTGGTTGCTCCGCACAGTACATTCAAAGATATGTTTCCAATTCTTGATTCATTCGCTCCGTTTCACCATCTGTCTGCGGATGATAGGCTGTGCTCATAGCCGACTTGATCTTGAGGGCAGTGCACAGTGCTTGGAAGACTTTGGATGCGAATTGTGTTCCACGGTCCGAGATGATCTTGTCGGGTAGCCCGAAGCGTTTCCAAACTTGTCGTCTGAATAGCTCGGCAGTTTCCGAAGCAGTGATCGTCTTCTTGCAGGGACATAGAATTACCCCCTTACTAAGCCCATGGTCTACCACGACCATGATGGAATCGAAGCCTTCGCTTTTTGGTAAATCTGTAATAAAATCCACGCTAACTTGCTTAAAAGGTAGTGCATTGGGCGAAGGGCCGATAGGCTGGAGTGGAACTTTGACCCTGTTTCGAACAGCTTTGGATTGCTGACAGGTGGCGCATCCATTGACGTAACTTTGGATGAAGCGATACATTCCTGGCCACCAGAAATCTTTGTGCACTAGTTGGTGCGTAACCCAGATTCCCGGATGACCATGAGGAGTAGCCTCATGATATCGTCGAACAATTTCCTTCTTCAAGGCAGTATTGTTTGGGACATATACGCGTCCATGGATGGTGATTAAGCCATTGTCAGCGTCCTTGATGTCGTCCGTGGTCATTCCTTGTGGGACTGGAAGTTCCTCCATTAGGCCATCATTATATGCAAGTACCGACGGGTCTTTTGTTAGTGCTTGTCAGAGTTGTTCCGCCATATCGGTATCAATAGCACCAATAAAGAGATCGTCGGGTAGCAGGATTGCAGGTGACTTGTTGTCCTGGCGATTGTCTAATTCAGACAATCGTGAAAGCGCGTCCGCTTGCACCAGTTGTCGTCCTGGCGTATGGACAATCTTGTAATTAAACATGGACAAGAAGAGTTGCCACCTTCGCTGCCTTGGATTTAAGTCCTGCGGTTGCCTGAAGTACGTCAGATTCTTGTGATCCGTGCGTATGAGGAATGGCTCCTTTGTTCTGTCGAGATAGTGTCTCCATTCCTTGATTGCGCGGATGATTCCTAGTAGCTCCTTATCATAGATTTGATAATTTCGTTCCGGATCGGAGAACAACTTGGAATAATATGCGCAGGCATGGAGGTCACCGTTATCGTCCTTTTGCATGAGGACTGCTCCTGTAGCGAAGTCCGATGCATTGGTTTCGATGACAAAAGGCTTGTCTTTGTCTGGCATAACCAGTATTGGCGCCTTGCCGAACTCGTTTTTGAGATGGTCGAAAGCAGCTTGTTCTTTGCTTGTCCAATGGAACACATTCCCGCCCTTGGTCTTGGTAAGATCAATTAAGGGTCTTGCATATTCGGAATAGTTCCGGATGAACTTTCGATAGAAGTTGGCGAATCCTAGAAATGCTCGCACTCCTTTCACGCCCGTCGGAGCTTCCCACTTGATGATCCCATTGACTTTTGCTGGATCCATTTGAAGTCATCCAGGGAGGAGAACTAGTCCTAGGAAGTCAGTACGCGTAGTCTTGAACACGCATTTCTCCAGCTTGAGATAGAGATCATTGTCGACCATTTTCTGAATGACTCGTTCAAGCTTCTTTTCCAACTCTTTTTCGCTTTCGGCAAGGATGAGGATATCATCCAGATAGCATAGTAGCCACCCTTCAGCGATTTCTTCTGCGAAGATTTCATTCATCATTCGCTGAAAGGTTGCCGGTGCATTGCACATTCTGAAGAACATGACTGTGGGTTCGAACAATTCTTGCTTGGTGATGAAGGCAGCCTTCCATTCGTCTCCTTGACAAATTTGGACATTGGTGTATGCTCCACGAATGTCAAGCTTCACGAAATACTTGGCATGTCAGAGTCGATCCATTAGATCCGATATGAGTGGAAGTGGATAGGCGTCCTTAATTGTTCCTTCATTCGCATAGCGGTAGTCCTGGCATGGACGTAGCCTGCCATCTTTCTTTCCTACAAAGAAGAAAGGTGATGCCATCGCAGATTGCGAAGGACGAATGTATCCTTTCGCAAGGTTCTCGTCGATAAAGGCATTCATAGCTTCTTCTTCCAGTTTTGATAGGTTATAGACCTTTCCTTGTTTAGGAACAAAGTCCGGCTTGAAGTCTATGTTGTGATCGTAAGATCTATGCGGTGGTAACCGTTCTGATGCCTTTTCTTCGAAAATCCGCTTGTATTTAAGAAGATACGATGGTATCGTCACTTTCTTCTTGGAATTCTTCTTCTCCTCGAGTGCTTTCTTTTGCGTGAGTTCCTGCGCCTTGTTTGATGCCTTCCATAAGATTCCATCTTTCTTTCTTGTTTGATGGGGATCTTTCTTGGCATTCGTTCATCGCAGTGCAAGATACTGCATCTTCCTTTCTCCTGCCGAGCGATGTTCTTTTTCTTCGAGCGTAACTTCTTGAAGTATGCCAGTATCAGGTTGATAGGCGAAAATAGCTTCTTTTTCTCTTATTTCCTGATCCTCCAAGTATGGTGCGCCTTTTATGTATGCAAGCAAGAGGTCCGAATCAACGGTTCCTGCTTCATTTGGTGCGGGATCGACATCAGACCAGTCGATCCTTCTCAAGGTTCGCTTGGCTTTGGCTTTCTCCTTTTTGATGATTGGAAGACGAACAGCGTCTTTGTCTTTAAAAGGCCAGGGGTCTTCATCTGGTACGTCTTCTACATATTGACAGACCTTGACTTCACCCGTTTGCCAATTGATGATTGGGTTGTGATCATGAAGCCACGTATTGCCAATGATCACGTCTTCTTTTCCTAAGTCGATGACAAGGAAGTCATCATTCCATTCGTACGTTCCTGCATGAACAGTTCCTTTGAATCGCTGGTTTGTAGAGTTGATGGGACTTCCATCGACACTACGAATCTTAACTTCCTTCTGCGATTTGAGCAGATGGAGTCCTGCTTTCTTCGCAAACGATTCATTGATGAACATTCCTTTTGCTCCAGAATCGACTAAGGCTCTTGCTGGAATACTTCGGGTTCTTGTGCCATCGTAATCTTGGAAGACGATATTGAGGTATATTTCGCTTCCTCGCTTGATATCGCCTCATATGATTACTTCCTCGGGGACCGTTTCTTTATCTGGGTGCCACGAGATCCCAACGCGCACCCAATTCCAAAACCCTCTGGATCGTCTTTTTCCATGGGTGGCGGATATCGGCGTGCATATTCATATCTATCTGGATTGTCTCCGAATTTCAGAAGATCGTCCATCGTCATGTTGCGTTTCTTGATACGGTCTCCTCGCATTTTGAGTGCATCTTCCTGTCGTATCCTGGCGAGTTCTTCTTTGGGGATGAATCTTCGAACCACATATGACTCTTCTTCTGAGTCACTGGATTCGTCCTTAGTTCATCTGATTTTGCGAACTGTTTTGGTTTTAACAGGGCGAGTTCTTCATACCCTGTGAACAACCGTTTCTTATTCGGATACTTCTTCAGATTCCGATGATTCAGATTCTGATTCTTCCGATGATGAGGATTCTGATTCTTCCTGTTCCGACTCCTCTGAGTTATCCTCAGAGTCGCTTTCTTCGACTCTCTTTACTCGTCGGCGTTTCTTCTCCGTTCCCTTGGAGTAAGATTTAGTCAGCTTGGAAGTCTTTCTTCGTCTGCCAGATCCGGAGTATTTCTTCATCCTGGAATTGGACGTCTTGGTCTTGGCATATGAAGTTGTCTTTCCTGAGCGATCTGGTGCTGGATCATATTCTGGATTCGGGCATTGTGCGGCGACATGTCCTGACTTTCCGCAGTTGTAGCAGAGTCCACCCACAGAACGTTTCTGATGGGTTTCTGAGGAGATCCGGTCAACGTCCATTGCGTCAGGGTCCTTCTCCGTCCTTCTTCCGCTTCCTGAAGAGCCTGAGATGAACTTGAAGATATTTGTCTTTCCGCTATGAATGTCCTGGAGGTCTGTGACCTTTCTTGCGGCCTTGCATGCTGCTGCATAGGTCGTTGGCGGACTTTCCGTGATGAAGACTTTTTCTGCAAGTTTCTCATTAAGGCCTCACTTGAAATGGATGAGCTTGGCGTATTCGTCGTCGATTTCGGCATATCGGTAGAGGATATCGAGATTTCCGATATACTCGTCGACAGTTTGCTTGTCCTGCTTGTACTTTCCTTCGAGAAGTACTTGCCAGGCTTGGTCCTTGGTTGCGACGCCGCCATACTTTTCGATAAGTGTCGTTTTGAAATCTTGGTACGTCCCAAGATTGCTGTGTTTTGCCATTTGGTTGGCTTCCCATGATTCGGCCCACTTTCCTGCTGTGGATGAGGAGTCGATTTGGGAGAGGACGAAGGCAATTTTGCTGAAGTCGTCATTGTAGACTCCCACATTTGCCTGTAGGTATTGTTCCACATTTTGGAGGAACGATGCATATTCTCGTTTGTCTCCCCTAAACTCCTTGATTTTTCCCATCTTCTTTTCCCGTGCCACTGGCTGCTTGGGGATTGCTCCCTGGTATCGTGCATAGAGTCCCAATGCTTGTTGGTACTCATTCCAGATGGCATCGGTGCAAGTTCCGGGATGGACTGGTGGTCCGAGAGCCAGGTCATATCGTGCATGTGTAGCCATACTTCCTGAGAACTGGAAGCTACCGGTTGGTCTTGATCCGGTTGAAACCGAACGTGTGATTCCAGGCACGTTGAGTAGGTGGGGTGGCTGATCCCTTCTGAGATCTGTGATTCCTGGATAATCTGGTCGAGTAGTACTGTCCGAGATAGATCTCTCGAGCGGGACTGCTCTTGCTTCGAGAGGATTAACTGGCTGTAATCCACCGGTTTCCTGTGAACGCCCTTCCTGTCATTCAACTTGGATTGATTCTCCTCGTGGAAGTTCTGTTACTTCGTCAAAGAGTTGTAGAGATTCTTCGTCAAAGGTTCCCCTTCCGCAAAGAACTTGTCTTATTTCTTCGATTTCACCCTCGAGCTGCTCTAGCCTCGGGTGATCTGTTGGTTCGTAGGCTCATCCTAGCCTAAATTGAAGTCGAAGTTGAACTGCTTCTGTCGACTTTTTGTCGTAGAGGTCTGTTAACTCCTCTGTGGTGACGTCACTGAGCGTAAATGGTGGTACTTCTTCGTCAGAAGTCACCGGTCGTGTTTCTGGTGTATCTTCTTCAGATACCTGGTCGTGTTCTCGGAAAGTAGTCGTTTTGAATCTTGTCTTGTCCTAAGATTCCTTGATTGCCTTCCCTGGGAAGGGCTTTAGCACGTCTTCAACGTG